AACACTGCATCTGTTCACATTCAGTTTTTCCTGAGAAAGAATCCCTGCTCAGTGATTCTCGCCCTCATGAAAAGAGAGACGGGGCTTGTTTGACAAACAAGGACAGTTTGCCCAAGAAAAACAAAAAAAAACTGTTGCACACCGGGTCCGCGGCGCTCAGGTATTCACAGATACCTGCCGCTCTGCGCTTCAGCCAAGAGCTCAGCATTCACAGTGTGTAGAGAAGGAAAATGAGCAGCTGCCATTTCAGTACAAAAGCGGATGCTTCGGCTGCAGCAAACAAACAAATCTCCACAGCTCAAGCCATCGCTGAACAATCGAAGAACGGAGGCTCAAGGTTGATTTCTTTCAGAGTTGTTCTGACAAGCTATTTTGGAAGATTACAGAGAAAACACTATATAACATGTGACAGTAGCCTTACAGGATTTCCTGTTTGTGAACCAAGGGCGAGATAATGGAACAAAGGTGGTAAGCTCAGGTCCGAGCCGGCCACAGTTTTTCTCGCTTTTCACAGTTTCTTTCGCTAACACATGCTATTCAACTCCTGTTCCCCTCCAGATCACATGAGCGTCATTTTTTGATTGTTGCAGATTCAAATGAATGGTTTTGCAGTGGCTTTTCTCAAAATCTACAGCACTTTTTTACGCTTTTTTGAGTTACAGGAGGTTGGAGTAAAACTGTAGATGTTTTTGATCATCAGTGTGCTATAGTTGTATGCAAAGATTTGGGCATCCTTGGCTAAATTACATTGACGTAAAAACAACGGATTTTGATTTGACATTTTTCTGCAAAAGTTAATGCACAGCATAAGGTTTGAAGAGTCAGAGAATGTATTAAACTCTGGAAATCTCATCAGCTGACAATCCTTAATGATAATTTTTGACCTGTGTAACCAGTTCTAATGAATCTTTTTAGCCCTAAAAAGATCATTTCTGGAACTTTACAGACTGAAAGGGTGTCCAAACATTCGCCTGTGCCGCAATTTTATTTAAATATAAAGCAACTGTGCATTAACATTCAAACTTTGCAGCTGAGGTTCTTTGCAACATTCATTGTGAAAGCACTTAAATGATTTACATGTTTAATGTAAAAATAATGTGATGATTGCTCAAATTGTGAGCCCTTGCAAATATTTGCCAGGGTTGGCTGAGTTTGTGTGAATTTTTGCAATCCCAAAATCATGGAGGGACTGAACTCCTGAGGGTCTGATAAGCTGATGAATCAGGTGTGTTAAATTAAGTAGAATAAAGCAGAATGCTTAATCCTGGTCCTCACACCTCTGTTATAGAAGCATGGCGGATGCTCTCCTGTGTTAAGTCGACCTTGGCGAATCCTTGACTTTCCCGAGCTCTTTGGGTGGATAACGAGCCTTTCTGCATAAACATTCTCCAGCTTCAGCAGCAGCTGTCCGTCAGCCAGCTGTGAAAAACCTTGTCTGATTCATATTCACCAGCGTCTTCACCCCCCTGCGAACAAAGGCAGCATAGTGCAGACAAATTGGAGGTAATAGGCCAAAATGCTTCACGATTAGGCCTACACAGAGCTCAGCGCTTCTCGTTTGTTCAGCGGGTTTTATTTGACTGTGTTTGCCCTTGGAGCGGGAGAATAAAGGCATGCAGAGTTTTGGGCCCAAGCAATAGCTAATTGCTCTGGCGGTGTCTGGCAATTTGTAATCATTCTTGATACCGAGTTCAAGAGTGAACAAGTGATTTGAGTTGATAAACAAGCATGAATTAATCTGAACTAATGCACATGAACACAAGCTCAACCTCGAACAGCTAAACGCTGTTTTTGTGGCACCTGTTGTGCTGTTTAGACTGTGTCTGAAAAAGAGATTTTTAAAGGTTAATGTAACGTAAAGATTCTCTACCAATTTAAAGCCCAAGGAAGTTAATCAATTTCTTTCTAAGTGGGTTAATCTTGCTCTTGTTATATGCATAAACATGCTCTAAGTATGTCCTGGGAATAACTTCCCAATGCCTACTAAATGGCTAATCTGCCAAAATTCTCCTGTAAATGTAAACTATACAGTTCTAATCTTGGGTAGCGCTTACATAAGCAGTACTCCCACCGTTCACAAGGCTGACATGATTTGTCCAGCCCGTAAGGTTTTAACAAAACTGTTGTCTCTTTCTCTCTGTTTGAAACTTGCAAAGCAAAAGCTAACAACCAAGCGAAAGCTAACCTAGCAAACATAACTGACCTATCAAGCTAGCTTATCTGTCTGCCTTTCGTCTGTCAGTTTGTTTGTCAGTTTGTTCATTTGTTTGTTTGTTCAGCCAGCCTTCCCAGCATTCCCTGGATGCACATTCAGCAGCAAAGCGAGTAAGAACCTATAAGAACTGTACCTTCTGTAAGACATTGCCGTATAAAAGCTGGGTAACATTTTAGTGATGTATCCACAGTGGGGTCTGCAACAGCACATTTATATGTAAAGCCTGTTAAACTCATTTCTCCCTGTTCACATTATTGTGTTTACTTCTGCTTCAGTAGTGTAGCAGGCTAGGTGTGTTGGACAGAAGAATATCAGAGTAATAGGTCACACTCAGACAGTTCTCAGATAGGTCTGACCAGTGTTTAACCCCTTACATGGCCAGGGCCCGTCGATAAGCCCAAAGTTTTATTACACACTTCTAGAACCTAAGAATAGCTCAACCAATTTGCACTGACGTCCCTGTAGTTACTGTATAAGCCTTATTATGTAATAAGCCTGGGATTTTAAGGGGTTAAACAGTGTTATTAAATTTCTATCTTATCTTTATATCTTTGTTTAACACAATTGTAGTAACATACAAAGTTCCTGGGACTTTAAATTTTCTTCATAGAACTTCTTTAAACTTTAAAACAGTTTTTTACACTCAACAACAAAAAGAACTGTTCTTAAGACAGCTCATGTACAAAAATGATTCTCTGTTTTTTAAGGAGTGAAAGAAGCTTCTATGGCATTGCGCAAAATCCTTTTAGTCATCTTAATCTTTAATAGTAAGGGGATCACATGCTCAGCACATTTCTGTGTTTTGTGTTTTCCCTTATGTAACATACCTGGGCCAGCATGTGGGTAGCCTGTTAATCAGTCAATGTGTTGAATCAGGTGTGCTAGGTAAGAGAAAAGAACTAAAATATAACTAGTGTGGGATCTCCAGGACTGACTTCAAGAACCATTGTGATCCATTGTAGCTACTGAATAATAAGCCTTCAAGATCAATAACTGGGTAATTAGTGTTAATGGGCCAACATTTCAACCATGTGATGGTAATAAACCCTTGTCAGTGGGAAAGAGATGATGGTAGAATGTTGAAGTTAAGCTGGCAACTGTCTACAATTCCCAAATAGAAGGCCAGTGTTCCCCAAACTATGCTATCATTTTCAGGTACATCCGTGCTTGGTTTAACATGACAACGCCAAGAAACGTTCTGCATGAGTTACAACAACGTGGCTGTGTAATCAGAGAGTGCAGGTGCTAGACTAGCCTGCCTGTCTCCTATTACGTGAGGTGCATTATGAAGAGCAAAATACAGCAACGAAGGTCCCATACGGTTGCACAGCTGAAGACTTCTATAACTTCTATAAATTCAGATTTTAAAACTGGATCAGATTTTAACTTCAGTCCCCAAAGGTTTATTAAGTGCTGTCAAAAAGAAAGGTGACATAAAACAGTAAACATGCTCCTGTCCCAGCTTTTTGGGAAAGTGTTGCAGGCATCAGATTGAGCGTATATTTACCAAAAAAAAAATCTTAAGGTAAAATATTTAATATTAGAGCATAATATAAAATATTTTACCTTAAGATTTTTTTTCTAATTTCAGTTAAATTACAAATGTGTGTATATAGAGAGAAAAAAAAAAATATATATATATATATATATATATTTTTGCATATTTAAGTACATTTAAGTGATTATATTTAATCCTGTACACATTTTGTATGCATCGTGTTCTTTAGGGTCAGCTTGAGCCCAAATAAACATTTTACACACATTTTTGTTTTGGTTGTTTTGGATGATAATAAGGTCACATAGAACTGTTCACAGAGGTGGTGATAGAAACCACATGTGTGAGTGTGAGTGCCTCCCATAAAGTGAAGATGTATGGTTAGAAGTGACCGGCCAGCTTCCTGGCTCTCTCTTGCTGCCTGTTCAAGAAAAGAGCAGCCAAGTAAACCATTAAATATCTGGTCTTTGTATTGTTTTCGTTCAAACACAGGTCAAAGCAAATTTATAAATCACTGCTTTCTATTTTACTTGCATTTTTCCTGCTTTCCCAGCTTTTTTGGAATTGATCTTGTACCACCAGTCCTGTGCCTGGTGACAATTAATCATGTCACTGTGGTAAAAAATATTGATGTCAAACTCGAAACTGATTTAGTACATCTGAAGCGCAGCATCAGCAAATAGTCCAGCTGTTTAAGAACAACGTTCCTTGTCAAGCATTTGCAAAGATTTTAGGCATTTCACTCTCCGCGGAAAGGCCAAGGCTAATCTGAAATGGACTGATGCACAGAACCGATTCTTTCGTTTGAATGAACCGAGCGTCCGATTAAACGAGCCCGGTCAACTCAATTCTCACCTCCTCCATCGCCTACGGTGCTTTTCGATTCAGTCTTATGTGCGTTAACGTCTCTCACTAACTCAGACAGACTTTTAGTGAACAAACATTACAAAAAGAGGATACAGCCTGTCCTGCAGAGAGAACATGTACCAAGAATTGTAATACAGAATGTGGTATGTAGTGTTTAGGGGTCTAAACAGTGAAATAAATGCTGTTCCAAATCTGTTAGAGGCCTTTACGTTGCGTGGATTGGGCAAAGTTCAATTGGGACGGAATCAGCTGAATCGGTTCACCAAGAACGATTCATTAATGAGTCGGATCAGAGGACATCGCTGAAAAAACAGAAGTAGAAGAAGGAGCGAGAGAGGGCGCGCGCGCGTCGTTCGTTTCGCTCACTCACTCCCTCGCTCGCTCGTGCGGCTCCGCCAATGCGCACACGTCCGTAAGAACGTTCGGCTCGTTCTTCTCGCGAGGAGGCACATGCTGCTGCTGCCGCTGCCGGACGCGCTCGCGCATACACGCTTCGAACTGCAGCCCGCCGAGTCGACTCACGTTCACCGTTAAAACAGAAACCGTTAACCGTCGGCAAGCGCCGCTCCATCGGCTCGAACATGTCGCTGGTGGAGGAGTATGCCGAGGGGGAGTACGAGCGAGCGCCGAAGAGGCTGAAGACGGCGGAGGTGGAGGAGGGAGAGGAGCTGGAGGAAGGCGAGGACTCGGACTCAGCATCCGCGGGGCTGCTAGGAGACGAGGAGGAGGAGGAGGAGGCGCGGCGGCCCGGCGGCAAGAGCAGAGCCCGCTGGAGCGCGTCGAAATACGGCTCTGGAAGGAAGGCAAGTGCCTCTTTTTTGAGGACGCTTATCACTTAAAACCGCGTACAGGATCCCGTGTAAATGTATCACAATGCTCTTCACAGCTAATAAGCTACAATTCAAACTCCTAGTATAGGTCGGTTTTACAGTTAAAACCAAATAGGACTGCATACGTGAATACGTAGTAATACATTCTAAGTGTGTGCCATACGTGTGTGTGTGTGTGTGTGTGTGTGTGTGTGTGTGTGTATGTATGTATGTCTGTGTATTTACCTTTAAGCCCACAACGAAAACCCAGACTCCTCTGTTTACAGCTAATTAGCTAAAATACAAACTCCTAGCATAGGGCAAAGGTCCTGTTTTGGGGATTTCACAGTAGAAACGAAACCCATATACATACATATATATGTATCTGTTTATATGTAGGTATGGCTTTATTTTACCTTAGAGCTCACTTCCACACAGAACAGCTAATAAGCTTAAAATGACAACTCCTAGCATGGGTGAGGTATCTTTTTTAGGAGGTGGTTCACAGTTAAAACCAAATCCAGGTAAACATAAATATGTATGTATGCGTATATGTGAGGCGCCTACAGCGTCTCCACACTAGCTTCATTGCTAATAAGCTAATTTAAGGAAGAATTCCACTGTTCAACATTTGTACATAAAGGATTAAGATGTTAACAGAGTTATTCAGAGCAGCATGGTGTGAAACGCTCAGTTCTAGAGAAACATACCGTGTCCGAGTTGTTCACAGTGGTTGTGATCCGAAGTGGATGTTCAGGAGTTCAGTGCCTCTGAAAGCTCCCACACAGAAAGTTATTATGCGAAGCGGTTATGAATAAATTGCCAAATGTCTAAATGTCGTTTCATGATTGTTTTGCGCGGAGCTAATTTTTAAAAATCCACTCATGGTGGAAAAAAGGTACATCCACGGCGTTTTAGCATTATCAGCGTTGAGTATAAAACTCAGAAGACATGCGTAGATCCACTGGTCGTTTTGCATAGTAAATAGCAATATTTGTTTTATAGACTCACCACCACTGTAAAGAAATGAGAATCAAGTGTCTCTATAATTAACTACTTCACATCAAACAACTCTGAATGACTTTGTTTACATATCATTGATTGAATTACGCAAAAATTTTTGACAAAGTTGGAATTTGCCGTGACATTCCTACCAGGCAAGGAAAGCCAATTGAACACTAACCAGACTCTCAACGTTGGTAACGATAGACATTTGTTAGTTAAACACTGCGGCTATGGAGACCCTCAGCTCTAGGATATGACGGCGTACCGCCTGCATTGACCCCACTTTCCATGGTTTAACCAGGAAAAAGAAGACTTGCAAGGAGCTGTGATCAAGCTGCACATTTGTCACGGCAGCCAGCGGCTCTTTTGATTTTTCAACTCGATTACGCCTAATCAGATTTCACGTCGTCTGAGACTGGCTGGCGTCCCCAGAGAAAAAGCTCCAACATGAGGGACCCACTGGCTCCGGGTCATCCACGACTCTTCCTGCCCTTCTAAAGATAGATGTAAGGGGCTAGATCACATGTGTCACATTCTAGTCCTCGCGGGCCAAAACACTGCAGATTTCAGCACACTGCCTCATTAAACACACCTGATTCAGCTCATCAGCTAATTAGTAAGACCGTGATGAACTGACTTTAGAGCGTTACATGAGGATAAATGCTAATCTCCGTAGCACTTGGGCCCTGAAGGTCCCCAGTTTGACATGCTTGGGTAGATGAAAAGTTGAGGGTTGTATTAGGACCTGGTTGTATCACGTCTGTTTTGTTTATAAGGGGTGAATGATAATTCGTTTTGTATCAAAATCACAATTTGAAAGAGTGCAGTTTTCACACTGCAAATGCTACAACTTTAATTGAGTAATTTTAAATATATGTATAAATATGTGCATATATATATTATAAAACCGCAAAGCTTGTAAACTGCATTACATTTACCGTTCAACCCTGAAAAAGGATGTGCTGGTCTTCATGAGAAAAAACGGCCTAGACTTTAAACTATAAAAATGAATCACATTTAAATCTGAGCTGCAATGTCGGTCTAAAAAACTGCAATTAGATATTTTACAAAGATTGTTTTGTCAACTTGATAGGTCGGTGGTCTGGTCCTGAAGCAACTAAACACAATGCTAAACTATCATATTGGTCACTTGCCTGAAATCCATTAAAGCAGTTTAAAGCAGTTGAGCTAGATTTGAGAAATTGTAGCTATTCCTTAACACCAAAGCAATGCAAAAATCGGATTAGATTACTTAAAAATTGATGTTTAATACAGTTTTGAGCTGATTACTTCATATACATGTTAAGGCCTGATCTTATCTCTCAGTACTATGTTCCACGGTCCACTCAAGGAACACAGAATTCAGTTGATATGTACACGTGTTAGTTTATGTACATCAAACGATGACTCTGTGCTGTGCTAGCCAACATGGACGTGTGAACGTGGACGTGCGGACAATTCATAACCGAATTGTCAGTTAGCGTTCTCCTCCAAGCCTTGCTCTAAGAGGACCCAGATGCCTCATTTTGATCATTCAGAGTGAAAGACGGCAAATGAGACACAGAGGAGCATGTTGATAATAGTTTTATCGCAGTTTTGCATATAAATTTTTTTACACATTTTAAAAACTATACTGTAATTATTTCTTCCTTAATAGTTACACATTCTCTGGTGGTAAAATGTGTGTACATTTGTTTACCTACACACACACATTCTCTCCTCTTGCTGTCAGTTTCTGTGTCAGGTGTCCAGAGCATTTTGTCCTTGATAGTTTATCTCTTTTAAAGGCACTGGGGAAAGAAAAGTGTGAGTTAGAGCAGAGACAGATCTTTCCGTGTGGGCTTGCTGCAATGTTTGTGACCTCCTCGAGAATGGCATGCATCTCCATGTTAGAAAACGAAAGCAGCGTCACATTTTACAGGTCAGATCTGCAGACAGAGTGATGAGATCAAAGAAAGGCAGGTGCACGGCAGGCTAGCGTTATCGGCCTCTAAATGTAAGTCATATTTACTGCTCGTGGAGCAGTGCCTTGTGGGTGCGAGCGATGAGGGAGACGGCAAGATGGTTCTAGATTCGGTTTGCATCCGTAATCTTCCCACTTTTATGTGTATGCAAATAGGAGTGGGATGACAACAGCCAAAGGGACGCTGCACCCTCTCCCTCTCCCTTTCTCTGTCTCTCTCTCTCTCTCTCTCTCTCTCTCTCTCTCTCTCTCTCTGTGCCTCTATCACTTGCTCTTTCTCTCTAGTGGGCGGCCGTGTCTCTGGAGGCTGTGATAGGCATCTGGGCTCACTGTGGGGATGGCGTGGATGGAAATGAATAATCCTTACCCCTCTGTGCTTGTGCCCAGGGCCTTGCAATGAGTCTGCACCTGCTCTAGAGGAAATAGGGGCGACCAGGGCAGTTCCAGCTAAGAAATTACCTATTGATTTTAATCCAGTGACGCATGTGCATCAGATGTACAGATATGAGGTGCTGCAGTGGAACTGGACAGCAACACTGGCCTGTTTCTCTGAAGAGCTTGTAATGACTGTGATGAGAGAAAATGGAGGAATGCTTTTAATTCACTGCACAAGAGCCTAACGCTAAATTAGGCACAATATGCCTCATGATATTTAGTTTTTCTGAGGTTCGTGATGTTGGGATGGACTGAATGCATCAGCAATACAGTAGTGCCACATTGGGGAAAAGGCTATGAGAAACTGAATAGAATATTTTGTTAATTTAGTGTTTCCAAAATCTAACAACTTAGGAAAGAGCATGGGGTGACATCTTGTTACTATGCAGTTTGGGTAATTACTATAAATTTGTCTTGTCTGATCTGTTCAGACTCCATGGCGCTAGTTGGTGCGCCACTACAAAACAAAACAATCCACTTTGAATTAACCTACCCACAAAATTCAGTACTGATGACAAATAAAGCAAACCAACTCAAAGCTTTTTTTGTTTTTCATTTAAAGATTTTCCTCTGTTTTATCAGCTCTTTTCTTCATAAAGCTTTGTTCAAAATAAAATAATTTATTGAAGTATATTTGATGTATCTTTTTTTTTTTGAGTCTAGACAAATCATAAATGGTTTAACATTAAAAGGTACCTGTTGTCAATATTTGTTCATGTCAGTTTGTTGATCTGGACCTTTGTAAGCAAGCCTTTTTTTGTAATTGGACCTACCCCTAGTTTACAGTCTATATAATTGGCCTTAATCTGTCTTTTTATGTCACATGCATCAGTAGTGAGTGATATACTGGTTCATCTGTTATACTGGTTGAAATTCTTAGTCTAGTATGAGTTTTGTCACACTAGCACGCCACAAATACTAGCTGATGTTATCTTCTTTAGCTGAGTGGCTGAGCCATCAGTGTTTCAGGTACGTTTCAAACTCTCGATCGCCTCTTGCTGTCTAGTCCATTGCTTCTGAAGTAGTCCACCTTTGTTTGCAGTGAACATGAAAGAATGGCCTTTTAGGTTAGCCTAAGCCTAACATAGACACCAGATCAACTGCCGTGCTTCTTCTCATATTGCCTGAGAAGCCACCTGACGCAGACAACTGCATCAGATGAGGCCATAGTCTTGGGGCCTTATGCATAAAGCAAGCTGTGGACAAGCTGGTACTAATAGTGTAGATAACTAATATTTTTAAAATTTCAGCAATGTCTACTGGTCAGAGGCACAAGTGTGTGGGACGGAAGTACGACTTGAAATGACTTGAAATATTTGGCGAACATGAAGTTGCCTTTATATTCAAAATTCCCACATTAAATGGTGCAGCAATTACAGGCACCAAATTGTAACTGCTGCTTCAGTTAAGGTGGAATGGAAAATTTTAACCAAAAAAACTGGCCGCTAAGAAGCTAACTTCAACCTTGTTGAAGTTAAGATATAAAAAACATTTAGCACCATTTTAGCTAGGCCTGCGGATTAGATAGTAATATTAACACTGATTTATCTTCATATTGTTTAGTTTTGTTTTTCCTACCTTGCACAATAAA